CCAAGAATAAATCTTATTGACAAAGCATGTTATATAGAATAAATATATAAGTAATATATCTACAAACATAAATATAAATCAAAATGTAATTATAAATACATAAATATAGAAATGAATATAATTATAAACATAAAAAATATAAATATAATCATAGTCATAGTCATATGAAGTCGAGAATAAACATACTTTAATATCGAAATTAATATCTTAGATGTGTCATGAACATTTTTAATAAAAATAGATATTTAAATGCCTTTCATCATGAATATTAAAAAAAACTCTACTTTATGTAATGTTCAACTGTAATTTGTCAACTATGAAACATTAATGTATTTGTATTTGAAAATCTAACCATTGTTTGAATCAGTACATTTCTAGGGTAAATTAGTATTGACTTTTGCTGTGTCTACTGATTTTATTGAAATAAAAACTTCGGTCAATGGCAAGTTGAGCAAAATTTTCGATTTTGTTCAATAAACTACAGTTATTATTATCATTATTCAATTCTCCTAGTAGTTCACAGTTGAGACTCTCGGTTAAAATTATTTTCACTAAATTCTGAAATTCCTTAGTTGATCTTCTGTTATTTTGAAAACATTTGAAATATTGTTATGTTCAAAATCTAATAGTGTAATGTTACGTAAGTCATTCATTAACTATATTTCATTTTTGAAGCAAAAGGAAGTTACAGAAGAATCAAAAATAGTTCCGGAATCCATTAAGAATCCCGAAGAGGGGCCAAAGGTAGACTTTTTGCTTGCCAATAATGTTCATGCGGAACCTCGGAAATCTGCTATTGCCTCAAGGAAACCAGCTGCCAAAAAATCTAGTGTAAGTAACTGCAAACAATTTTCTTATTTATACAGGGTGTTTGGTAGCTGGGTGCAAACCTTTAAGGGGGTGATACACTAGCCCATGTAGAACATATTCATACAAACATTTTTATTTTCTAGCGCGTTTTTGATTTTTAAGGGACCTTTTACGATTTTTAGTACAAAAACCCAAAATTGGTCAATTAAATGCTAATAACTTCGAATCTTAACAGAAATGTCCGGTTTTTTAAATTTATTTTAGTAGTCTTATGTGTCCCCAATCGTACTAAAGTAGTTTGAAGCACCATTGTGTCCAAAAAAGTTATGTACA